GCCGCATTACATCTTTGCGTTTGTGAGTGTCTTCAAATGTCGAGCACTAATTGGGTGGTTTGGCTCGGGAACAGCAATGCCACCTTTTTTTAATTTCTCCCTTAATTCCTTCTTTAATTAAAGGAAAAAGGAACCTGCCATCATAGTTCCATGTGTTCATCTGCACCATATTACGCGTTATTGAAACCATGAATATTCCTACAAATAATGCTGCACTTAGTTAGTTTTTGACATGATAATTCAGAGCAAGAACCTTTCTCATTGACTTTCTGTCGTTCATAAGAAAAGAATCCTTCGACATAACTCATCGTTTTCATATGCATTTTTGAATATATGCTTATTCATTCAATCAGATTAATTGCTGTAAATGTCACTTATATATGATGATATGATGTATGTTCTAGCAGCTTTTGTCACGTGTATAATGACTAACTAAACACTCACGAGAACTTTTTCAAGGACTAATCACATAGTAATTAGCTAATTATTTGGCCATCACATATTTAAGAACTAAACTACAATTGAAAGGGTGGTTATAATAATTAATATTATCTCAAACTTTCAAACATAAATAAAAAGAAATAGAAGTTTTCTTGCAGGAGTAGTTGAGTAAAAAAAGACAAATGGAGCAATTAATATTCTTTTGTTACAGAAGTCTTATAATGAATCCTTGAAGAGACTGAGAAACATGATTAGGGGTAAATAGATTTAGAATGTCAAGTCAAGATGTGCCTTTAAGTTAGGGCTTATAAGATCGTTGGTAGCAGCAAAGGAATAAAATGAACTTGTGGTTGGGGTTGTTACATATGGATGTAGAGATCATAAAGTTAATTTTACTCTTCTTTTCTATATATTTTTTTTCATATACAAATTAGAATATTTTAGATCAATGAACAATGGAAGATAAACCCACATTTATTCCGTGCATTCGTGATGCAAGCATTTCCTCTTTCTGGCTCTATATATACCCTGCATCCCCCTTCAGCTCTTCACACAAGGGCAATTCAAGTTTGTCATGTTCCATATATAGAAAGTGAACTTGTGTTGAATGTTATAGAAAAGGGTGTTAATCATTAGAGAAAAAAAAAATTTGAATGTCTGTTCTCTATCCTTAACCCCCATCCATACCATTTCAGAAGCAAGGGTGTGAATTAGCTTATGCAGCATCCGTACACATCAGATTTCTGTAAATCAATGGAGATTAAGGGTAAGGGAGGTGACAGAAGAGAGTGAGCACACATGGTATTTCTTGAATGATAAGTTTTCATGCTTGAAGCTATGCGTGCTCTCTCTCTATCTGTCACCCCATCACCATCTCTTTCTTTCTATCCCTTATTTTTCACTTTCTATCACTACCTATGTATCTATATTGTTTTCTGTTTCTTTCTCACGTTCCCTTCATCTGCTATGAGTAACCCTAGATATAGCCTTAGACTCCTGCGGTCTTATCATTCAGTAGTATGCTTTCTTTATGCGCAGCATCACATTCCATGACTCAGGTATGTCTTTTCCATATTGCTGGTTTCCATATATGGATTTTCTTGATTAGCATGCAGATTTGAAGTACATCAGATTCCTCAAGAAAAAAAAAATTATTTCTGTTTGTCTGAGGTACAATATGTGTGCGCTTATGAAGAGCCTATTTTCACAGATACAAGTATCTGTAACTCTAATTAGTTGATGAATTTTGATCTTATGCTCTCAGTTAGCCTAATTTTAAGAGGTTTATGTTGACTAAACACTGGAAAATTCTAGCAAGTCATGGTTCAGACAACCAGTTTATGTTTGCATCTGATGAGTACATATGAAAATTATAAACTCATCCTATTTTTCATTTATTTTACTCCTGATTTTAAGTTCTAACAGATTAACTGTTAGGGTTTGGGGGATACTCGGTTAAGAAGAAAAGTTTATCAGCAAAGATATGGATTTTGTCACGAAAAATTGGGATTCCTTGTAGTAACGAACTTGGTTTTAAGTAGTGTAGATTTGATCGAAATTAAGTCCTGGTTTTGGTTTTGTATTATAGTATGTGTTCATCTCTTTTTTATTTTTTAAATTGGGACTGAACCCAGAAGAACTTTTACAGTTGAATTGGGAGTTATGAGCTAATCTTTCAAAAATGTCAAATACCAGTTAATGAGTAATTTGTTTCTTATAGATAAAGACTTCTCATTGCAGCAAGTTATTCACACCACACTTCAAAAATATAAGAAGGTGAGTGATGAGATTGATCACTGAAGTTTATTTAATAAAATAAAAAAGTTGGGTTCTTATAATTCAAAATTTCATAAAACTTTTTTAATATACAATTATATTATAAATGAAAATATTTATAAGTCAAATTCAACTTTGTCACACTATAAAAAACTAATAAATGTTTAATAAACTCTTAATTAATTATCATGGCATAATATTTAATATTCACTAACAATTAATTTTTATTAGTGGTATTTTTAATTTTCACAACATTATTATTTCTCCTTACAATGAATGATATTTTCTTTTTATAACTTTTTGTCATTTCATACTTATAATAGTTTAATCCACTTAATTAAAAAACATAAAAATATTATATTTGAAGATATATTATATAGTCTATAAATTTATGCATTTTATTCTGCACTGTACTCTATATTATATATTGGTTATGTCAGAATCTGATTTTGATGGAATGGTAATTTTGTTTTTTTGTTTTTTCAAGGGTTGTAGTAATCAGTTTAACTATGTTATTATTATTCCCTGACCTTGATGGAAGTAGTTAGTTTTCATATGATTACTTTCATTACTTTTAATTCAGTCAATTATGTCATGGAACTTAGTTTTACGTTTTTTGTGATGAAGTTAATTAAAGTATATTTTGATTTGTCTCCAGTTAGATACTTTAGGGTTCTAAACAAGTAGAATTTCTAGGCACCTAAATCTTCAACCCCTTTGGCTAAATATAAGCTCGCGTGTCACTTTCAGGTTGTAAACAGTCTTGTTGATGAAATGGAGTGCACTCAATTGAAATCCTCCAGCAAAAGCTTCAATGGTGGGAAATTAAAACAAACCATATGTGTTTTCTATATATATTTAGGGTTGGTAAAAAAAACAAGAAAGAGCTATTGAAGAAAAGGGGTTGATCAAATATGCATGCACAAACTATGCTAATGGTGAAGTGTTTTCTTGTATATAATGAGGGTACGTGAAAGAGCAACGGTTTTAAGAGAGAAAAGTTAATTTTATTTTTTTTTCTATATTTGATGCTTTGTCTATACATTTCATTTGTGTTCATTTCATTTCTCCTGCAAAAGTATATCATTTTATATAGCATAATCCAAGTTAAACCAAATAGAACTGCTATAACAAATCTAGCCTCTTTACATGCACAAACACAAACTAACATAAAATAGAGACGTAATTAAATTAAAAGTAGTGGAAGCAGATGTAACTATCTGTTCATTAATGGGTTTATCCTTCTGCATGTGATGACAATTTCATCTAGAGCAGTGTCAGTTTATCTAAAATAAACAATTTTCTGAGCAAGCACTATTAATGGGAGTGTAAATATATATATTTGGATCTGAGCTCATTTGCTTCCTTTCTACTTCAAACATGAACTCTGACCTCAGAAATGATAAGCTTATATGTGTACCCATTTTTTTTTCTTGGTTAAGCAGATTAACTTATTAATAAGTATTCCACAATGTTTAGCATATACATTAGAAGTGACCATGCAACTTTTTTACACTGTCAATTAATCATATAATATGACATTAATAGCAGAATTTAGCCTTTCAAACGCAAATACTATAACTGATTTAGTTAAACCCTTTATGATATGAAAACTCACAGATTTAAATGATGACTTAAAAATATTAACAAAATTAAGCTACTGAAAATACTTTTAGATCCGTATTTGCTAGTAAGAAAGCACAAAGAAAACTAACATACTTATTTTCTTTGGGTAAAACCCTGAAGTTGTTGAAGACTAGATAGCATCTATTGCCTAATATTTAAACAAAATTTTTTTCAATGGAACAGTACTCCTCACCTTATTGTACTGTAAAGGTAATTAGAGTGTGGTGCACCCTATATATATATATAGCACCGGAGAATATGTGCATGCAGCCAGGAATAAACTGTGCATAGAACATGAACACACTTTTTAGTCTTTTCATAACAAAAGAAATAAGATATGCTTTAATTTGAATGAAAAGTGAATGTGCAAGTCATGAATTCAATGGACAGTTATTTCAGTGGTCCTTGTTTTGATTTCTTTACTTCTGAAATTTCATCCGTACGAAGCAAGGAGGTAAGTTCATACAGAAAATGATTACACAAATTGTTAGAACTTTAGTAAATATATTATTATCATGGATGGATAATTGGTCTTTTTCACTGCTTTGGTTTATTTTGACAACGAAATTTGAATCTGAACAAGTTCCACCTCAATTTATCAAACATATTCTGTTTAAGTTACTCTCAGCAATAATGTTGCCTAAAGAAATGTTATACTAGAAGAAAAAGAATTTAAGTCGAATGTTAAAAAAAAAAAAACATTTGAGCTTTATTTTAGTTTCCTAATTACCATGTAGAATCAAATGAACTCTAACTTAGAAGTTAGATTTGTCTTATGCCAAGTTGTCGCCAATTTTGCTAATGATTCATCTTAAAAGACTAGGATCGCCTAAAAACAGTAGTTGCCAATCATACTTACTAAACAAAAAAGTAATCCTTTTGTATTTCCATGAAAATGATGCAGGGTGCACAACCACCATGTGTTCATGTCTAATGCCCCCATGTGGGGAGCAAAGCAAAAAAAAAATTACAATAAATAAAAGAAAACAGAATTCTCTCCCAAAACTCCTCATCAAATAGAAAACTTGTATAAATGAGCCCAAACGGATTGTCAAGTAATGAATCAACCAGGAAGTTACACTCTACTTCTTACTTGTAATGAAGAGAAGGATCAAGAAACCAATTTGCACTCAAGCTACAATACTAAAAACTCAATATCACTCCTTGCAGAAGAGCAAGATGTTCAATGCTGTACTAGGAAGATCATCCTTTAAACCATTGTCAATAAACCAATTGTCAATAATGCTATGGGACAAATTACTTGAAGTCTCAGCAGGCCACTTGTCAACTAATCTAAATCCAAAATGCGTCGCAGCGGAAAGTAAGGTTGGTTCGTCTACCCGGCGGAAGATGTGGCAAAGAATAAGTGCAGGAACATTACCATCTTCATGGCTTCCACCAGTAGCAATCAGTTCTTTTGCAGTTGCAAACAGTGGCAATATAGATTCAGGAATATATGTCACATCTGTGCCAATGATGACATCAAATCCTCTATTGCTCACTACATCCTTTATGCTTTCTATGTGGTCTTTGTTTCCCCACTCCAATCGTTTGGTGGTTAGTTTAGTCAGCAATGATGGCTCAATGTTAGATGCAACATTTTTGGCCAGGAGATCAAGTGCAAAATCATCTCCATCGGTTGCAACTACTAGATCAGCATCTCCAGCAGCAATCATTGAGCAGATACCGCCGCTGCCGCACCCCAACTCCAAGACCCTTTTTCCTGCAACAATGCTGGGATTTTCTGCAAGGACAGAAGCCATCAAACGAGCCGATTCCCACAGCATCAAACCCGTTGACTTGCAGGTATGTTGGTACTCTTTTGAAAGTAAACTAATCTTGAAATTCCAGCCTCTAAGGTTGATCTCAATGATCTAACAGGAAAAACTCAAGTGATAAAAAGTGAAAATACTAATATGTTGATGACAGAGATCTCAATAAGAACATCAGTATTAAAAAATAAGCCAAACATAATGGCAAAAGCTTTTGTTGACGACATAAATGCACCTAATTAATCAAAATTGAGAATAATATGAAGGAAAATTAGTCTTCTCATTTCGAAAAAAAATACATACAAAAATTGCTAAAAGGGGAAGAAAAAGGCCTTCACAAATGCCAACAGATATGCAATTTTTGTACATCTGAAAGAAGTAACCTATGATGGGATATGTTCAGATAGTAAGGAAAAACGATTCCATGGAATCTGATTAACTTCTTGTTTTAGAACTCAAGAACCAGTAATGACTGAGCAAAGGTGAGAACCTTACCTCATACTCACTGGAAGGTAAGACTCCAAACATATCAATTGCCAGACCCTCAGACAAATCAACTGCAGAGTCATTTAAACCACCATACAAACTATTTTGCTTGATTTCCTTATCAACATTATTGTCCTCGGCTTCTTTGCTTGAAGACGAGTTGGAACTATCTGATACATGAAATACAGCTTGGACCCACCGCCTAAAACCAAAAGAACGAAAATAGAAAAATAATTACAGTCAATGTGACTGAGTGTGAAGGCAAACAAATGGAATCTCATATCTCTAAAATCTAAACCCATGGAATTTCAGAAAGCATTCTATATGGTAGGTTACCTAATATAAAAACACAAATCTTATAAAACTATTATCACCATATAAAAGTGACCAAAATGAAATTGTGATAAAATATATTACCGATTCATTATCAACTCCCTTGAGCGGTTCTCAACTTGTTTGCAGTATACATGAAGTTTGTCAACATCAAAACCATTTTCTTTGAATAAATTTGTCAAGAACTCATTTGAAAAATAGTAAGCACGCTGAACATGGAACAAAGGGAGCATTACTTTAGAAATGAAGAAAGTCACACGAGAGCTAAGTTACAAGTTATCATGGGCCAAGCTGAAAACTTACAGTGCCATCACCTCTAACATAAAAGTTATCACTAATCTTCTGATCTTTGGTAGAGAACCTTTCCTGTAGAACATAAAAATAGATATACAAATTGTTAAATAATCAAATAAAAACAAATCCATCAACCAAAACGTGATGGTAAACAGTTTTCCTGTCCAACACCGGAAATGCTAAAATTCAACTGGTAATTAGTTTGATGATTAGTTAAGGAGTAATGGTCTAAGAGTTTCACTTTGAATGAAGAAATGTAGTAGAGAATGGTCCCACCTTCGTATAAGCATAGCTATAACCTAAAAGTAAAGAGAATAATATTTTAAATCACTTTGATATCAAAAGTTAAATCAATAAGAACTATGTTTGGATTTTTCCGGTTACCAAAGAGAAAGTTTTTTATTTTCAGATCAGTATCTCGAGTCTTGCTACAAGTGTCATCTTTCTGCAAAAATTTAGTCAAAATAGCTACATGTTTCGCTTTTCTGGAATGAATCTGAATATTCTTGCATCATTTTCCCCTCAAGATGTACTAATTTCTTAATAAATTTGTATATCCATAGAGTAACCTTTGTACTTATTTTGTTGATTCCATCGCAGTTAGTGATATTTTTATTTACTTTTTTTTTTTTGTATACAATCATCAGAAGAAATAAATTGGATAATAATCATGCACTTTCAATTTTCTATGAATTAAACATATAAAGTGCAGTAAAATCCACCTGAGCAAGGTCTCCAGTAGCGTAGTCTCTGAACAACACATATCCATTTGGCTGCAAATGGAGAAAAGGTATGAATTTCATCACATGCAAACAAGTTATCTATCAACAATTCTGGAAAATATAATGAATTCTTTCTTACCTTGATAACTTTTCTAACATTTTGCAAAACTAGAGGCATCTTTTCTGGGGACACTGCAGACAACATAAATATCTGCTTACCATGTCAGCTTCATAAACAATTACTAATTGCCAACAATAAGAGCACAAAAATTATCCGAAATAAGGTAAGAAAATGATAGCTTGCAACAAATAAAAGAAAATTTGACCACATAATCACTCCAATCTACATTAACTTTAAGATTTAAACTGCCGATCAGAATTTCAGATACCATTGTAACAATATCAACTGAAGTTGGAAGAATCTCTTGGCTCAGATCATCAGCTGTCAAATCACAGACAAAAGCACTAACATGGGATTCCTTGTAGTCTTCATGTGTCTACAATAAAGAAAACAAATTGTTCTCACTAAATGAATCTAAACAAAAAGTATTACATTTCTTTATGTTTACAACAGAATAGATAAGCAATACAAACTCGTTCCTTTTAAACAAAAATAAAGTGTGCCCTTTTATCGTCCAAGAATTAAGAACTATTAAGGCTTAAAGTTAGCTGATATGTGGAAGAAAGAGGGACAAAAGTTGCAATATTCCACCTACATCCTAATGAATAACCTGTGTAAAAGTGGAAGTTTCCACAATTTATACTCATACTGTGGCATTAAAGACAACAAATTAGGATGATTCCTCAATGTCTATTTATTTGACAAAACATGACTTACAAAGTTACAAACACTAGTGTGAATATACATTTCTCAGCATAATGAACCAGACAAGAAATATTCACACTAACAGAACTGTTAGGGAATACAAAAAGGGTACAAAGGGCAGGATATCTCCACTAATGAACTGCAAGCAAACCATACAATGAACTTGATATAATACCTAATCTAAAACCTCAAGCCATTATTTTATGTTTGTCGATCTTTCTATGCAAAGAGATGATGATTGGACATAGTGTTTTACAAAAAGGAGGTTTCTAACCTTAACCAACTCAACAGCTCGTGGTGAGAAATCACAGGCATAAACAAAAGCATCTGGATTTGATGCTATCACAGGAAAGATAGTATTTCCAGCTCCACAACCAACCTGTTAAGCAAACACCATCACTTGTTAAATAACCAGTACACATATCGCAAATAATAAGTAGAAGTGTAGAAAATCAATGCAGGAAGGTTCTATCTGCATATGGTTCACGCAAAGCTTAAAATCAGAATAACATTCACATTAATCCAATTGTTACATTGTGGCATGCGTATATGCTCAACATTATAATGCCTGAGATATGTTCAACATTATAATTCCTGGGCAATTTAAACAATGAAGGATAAACTAATAAACCACAGAAGCAGAAAGAGTATGATTGGTATACATACCTCCAAAATCACTTTTTTTCCTCCTCCCTGAAAATTCAAAATCACTTAAAGGCATTACAAACCAAACAAAATTAAATAAATAAATATTTTATTTCCTTTCACTCACAGAAAAGTACTCGCCCCATTCCTTATCCAAGTAGTGCCGATCCTTGAAAAACTGAAGAAGGTATTATCACCAAAGTCAAATTACACACAACAAATATGCCTTGAAAATTAAACAAAATAGAGTTAAGTTATACAGTTACATCAAACGACACCACAAACAATAGGAAACCATGTATATTGGATACACAAGTACTAAGAAAGACTAACTTTGTCCTTGTGGCGCTTGTAGAAAACATCCCAATACCTCTTGGCATCTTTTTCATACTTTTCTGCAAACAAAACCCAAAAAATTAAACTTTTATTTTTCATTTGGGTGGAGGAATTTCAAATGGGATAGAGAGTTACCTCTCCAGAAAGGTGAGACCCCAGAATTTGTATTGGGATAAATTTGCAACCTTTGGGTTTGGGCAGGTGATTTTTGCTCCCCTGAAGCCATTGCAGTGCCTATTTTGGGAGGTTTGCTTATACACAAGGAAGCGTTAGAAGAAAAAGCGAGATCAAACATTTATTTCAATGAAATCGATTTTGTAGATACACTTCGAAACCTACCTATTGCCTTTTCTTCCAGCATTTGCTGGTGTTAAACACAGTTTCAAGACTTTGAGTTTATCCCTCTTTCTTCCAAGTTTTTATACATTTAATTAGTTAAATAATTATTTACTATTGAATTTAAATTTAGGAATTAGAACATCAAGGCTAAAGTTACATTTTATATATATATTATTTACTTGTTTTATCAAAGAATTAAATGTGTGTATTATTTACAGTTGTAATATAGATTTTATTTTTTGGTTGTAATGCAGAATAAAAAACAATTATATTTTATATTAAAGCATTTTACTTTAATAAATTGTTTATTGTATTTGTTGAGAAGGTTCTCGCGCTTAATGTCTCCAACATTTAGAATTTTAATTTTTTTATATTTTAGTAAATTAATATTTATTATTAATTTATTTTATTAAATGAATCATTTTATGATATAATATACAATTTATTATTATTATTATTATAGCAATATTACACAATCTTAATATATAGATAAAGTGTTATTATAAAATGTTTAAGTATATATTTATTAGTTATTTTAAAAAGTCAAGAAAAAAAATCATATTTATTTTGGATTCCGTTTCTCACCTTCAAGAGTATTAATGAAATCAGTATAAAATTTTAATTTAATAAACAAATTTATGATATACATATATATATATATATATATATATATATATATATAAAATATAAAAAGGATGAATTTTAAAACTATTAATATGCTTCATTTTTATAAATCACATTCTCAGCTTTATGTTCATGTGGTGATTAGTTCAGAACTCCATTGTATGTTTCGAGATTATTATTTTGATTCAAATCTTTCTTTGAGTATTCACAATTTTAAGAATACTACTTCATTCTCTCTTCTCCCTTTCTTCCCCAAATCACACACCCCAACTATGTAACCCATCTTAAACTTGATTTGGTATTGTTGCAAAATCAAAACATGAAAGAACTAGAGTATAGAAGAACCTTTTTTTTAAAGTTCAATAACTAGGGTATCACATACTTATTTATTGTTTTGAAATTAAAAAAAGTGTTTTAAAAGTTTAAGAATAAAATAAAAATTAATTTTTTTCTTTAAATTAAAAAAATGGTCATATTTTTTATTTGTATTGAAATTCATGTTACGATTACTTTGTTAGTGTGAATAATTTTCATGTATTTCTAATTTTATTTCAAAAAATTTACTTTATAAGATCTTAAAATTTATGATTCTACACATTCATATAAATTATGATAAAAAGATACTAACCTTAATTTACAAAAAATTAATGAAAATATGTTCTTTAATTTCTTTATTCTTCGATCTCCTTTTTTTAATCTATCTTTTTGTCTTTCTTTTGATGGTTAACAATGTAAAAATCTTACTTACTGCATAGACAAAACATTTGTTTCCTTTATATAGTCAACTTCATCAAGTTGGTTACTACCAATTCAAAAGATAACTCCCAACACTATCTACTAAGTTGAATAACTCCTCATACTATTTACTAAGTTGAATAATTCCTCATCCTATCCACTAAGTTGTTTACAATTAGTTTTAAAACTTCCAAAGTCATAATATTTCGTGATTTAATATATAAATTATAATGCACATTAAAAGACCTTAAATAAATTAGTTTCATCATTAATCATAATTAAATATACAAAAATAACAAAAGTCATGGTGGTTACATGTGATTCAATCTCCCTTCGTACTACTATATTATCTTTTTCTCTTTAATATGACACAATTAAAAGTCCATAATGAGTTTAAATATAACATTATTTTTAATAACAACAACATAATTTGTTTTCTTCATCATAATTTGCATGCATATATATAAAGAATAAAAAACAAATTTCATAAACTTATACATTAAAGAGTTCAGAGTGTCACATAAACATTAATAATAACATCAACATATACTAGTAAATTCTCTACATGGTCAGTAAATAATTTTGGAAAGTAACCCTTATGTTAAATGGTCAACAACCTTTGTAGTGCAGCGAAAAATCATCCATAAATATCATCATAGGCAGTAAAAACATAAGATTACAATGAAAAAAATAAAATCCCTAAATTTCATAATTAGGGTTTTATAAATTTAAGAAAACATAATTTGATAAACATCATCAGAGGAGAATCACAAAATTAACAACATGGCTCTAATACCACATGTTAGTTTGATAATTTTCATGCATTCCTACTTCAATTCAAGAAAATTATTTTATAGAATCTTAAAATTTATGATTCTCATAGATTCACATAAATCATGATAAATAAATACTAACTTTGATCCATGAAAGATCTAATGAAAATGAGTTATTAAGAAGATAACCCTTCATACTTTCCATTAAGTTGGATAACTCCTCATAGTATCACTAAGTTGGTTACCATTAATTTATTTATTAATTCTAACATATTTGGCCTTTGAATAATCACTACTTTTTAAAATAAAAGTGTTTTTAAATTGTGTCATTACTTAAGTATTGTTTTGTTTTAATAGCTTTGTATAATGAATATTTACTTTTTACTTTTTTTTTCCAAGAATAAATTTTAAATTAATTTTATTTAACAACTATACTAGTATAGTAGAAATTCTTTTTTATGTTTGTTATTTTAGAATTTTTACATCAAACTAAGGTCCAACGTCAATGTAGGAGATGTAATTATATCAGACAAAATAATCAACCTTAATTTACGTTAAACATATACAAAATTGACATCAATTTACATAGGATACCTACATGACCAAATGTAAAAAAGTTTTAAAAATCACAAAAAAATGCAAAATTTACGTTAGGTACATCAATATTGATGTAAATTTTCTCGGGTGTGGACCCACCCAATGTAAATATCAAGTTGTTTTTTTAAATATTGATTTTATTTTTGCTTACAACAAAAACCTGCATACACATTTTTAATATAACAAAATATAAATAATCTAGAATACAACACTTTTATCCATATCTCTTGTACGAAAGTTAAATTATTTAAAAGCTGAACTACTTAAAAGTTAAACTAGTTACAAGCTAAACTACTAAAATGTTGAACTACATAATTATCCAACTAAATTACCCAAAATTTAAAGTAGCAACTATTGTAAAAGTTAAACTACATAATACACTATAAACTAAAACCTACAAAACTAGGTACTAGAAGTTTTGAATAAAAAACTTTGAGATGTAGAGAAAATGGGGGATAAAAGGGTGGTCCCCCGCAGCTAGGAGGAAGACGAAAGGGGAAGGAAGCTGGACGGAGAAAGAATTGTTTGAGTGTGTTGGAAATGGTGATGGTGAGGAGGAGTGGAGATGAAAGGGAGTTTGGTGTGAGTGAGAGGAAGCGGTGGAGGTAGCAGTGCGCGGCTCCTCCCCTCCAAATCCCTTCAAAAACATTTTGGTTTTTTTTTTAATTACACATCCATAGGTAAATGAGTAGGTAAAGTAATAAATAAGTATTACCTACCTCCTACATCCGTAGGTAATGCATAATCATCTTATCCGTAGGTAAATTTCGTAGGTAATGAATAATTTATATACAGATAGAATTCCGTAGGTAATATCTGTATGTAATGAATATTTTACCTACGAATTTTTATCCGTAGGTAATATTTTGTAAATAATACCCATTTTTTTTGTAGTGATTGCTCTCTTATCTATGTTATATCATCTTCCAATAATAGATATGAATCTTGAAATACATGAAATATTAATTTGAATCTCGTTAACATATAATACTCATAAAAGTAAATAAATTTAACAAATGTTGAGAAACAAGACACTAAAATGAAAAATAAGACACAATGTTATTTCTAAAATTTATATACAAACAATAATTATGACTTATATTAAATAATTTTCTAACCTTAGGGTTGTTCTAACTTTTCCACTTAGAATATTATTTTCAGACATGATTCGAATCGAAATAAAGGAAAATATTATTCAATATGTATTTACACTTTTAAAACATGATGAAAAGGGATAAAGCTACCCCTGTAATAGGTTTCTCATTTCTTGGTTGGATTTCCGATGCAATGAACAAATCACACCATGATGTAATCCTTAAGAATGATTGCAATTAACTATCAATGAGACCTACAAAATATGACATACAAATTAGTTATAAAACTAACTTGATTAAAAAATATAATTTAAAATACTAACCCTTGAATGTATGGAGCCAAGTATATATATATATATATATATATATATATATATATATATATATATATATATATATATATATATCTTTGTGAGACACTCATCCATGTTTGCATATATTGTTGGATTTAGACTTTCATGTTCCTAGATTTTTGGGTGGATTGAGGCTCAATAAATCCATATATTCTAATTTTTCTTGCTCCACACTCAATTTATAATGTGCCTAACACAATGAATTATAAGTTAAATATAATTATAGTAATATGAAAAACATAAATGAAAATTACTTATATGCCCCACAACTGTATCATAAAAATCTTTAGCATGCAGTTTCCCTTAACAATCTTTAATACATCGGGCAAGGAAATGTACAATTGAACAATAAAACTGTTAACTCTAAAAATTATGGTGTCTTACTGTATCTAAGTCGATCTCTTCCTCAATCGTGGTAATATAATAAAAAACATAGATATGGGATCACCCTCAACTTTTTGTCATCTCCTCATCAATAACAAGTTCTCTCTTAAGCTTTCCACGATCGATAAAATCCTAAACAAATGATAAAAATTGGTTAAGAATTTGTATAATTATAAGGATACAAAAGGGAGAAAAGGAACACGACATATATTACATTTGTCGTTCTGAAGCACTAACCTCACTATGTTCTTAAACCAAGTAAGGAAACTCTTGTTATGTTCATTCAATGTTTATTTTTCATTCATTCGTGGGTATTGCTACCTTAATTTCGTTTATGTGTTGTGCTATGTAAGGGATTATCTCGTCAGTGTTGTTCAATATGTACAAATATGTTTGGTCGACTTCTTTTCGACTGACATTTCTAATATTTAAATTTTAAGTATCGTTACCTTCATATCTTCC